GGGGGGGGGGGGGGGAGAGGAGGAGGGGGAAATAAACAAACCACAAGCACACAAACCCCCTCCTCTTCCTCATCCACCACAAAACAAACAAACAAACAAACGAAGAAAAAGGAAATCAAACTAATGGTGCGATGCAGTGCAATCACCAGAGTGGACCCCAGCCAAAGTACAGTGCGGCAAAGTTCTCCACACGCGTGGCCTCGTCAATAAGCATGGACACCTGCTGTGGCGTCGTCAGGCATTTGCCAAGGGGCCGCCGAGCCGCGTCGTTGAAGGCGTTGGACATGTACAGCAGATCCGGCCGACGCGCACTCTCTGGCACCGTGTTGAAGATCGTCAGGTCCTCATCCTCAACCGCCATCTCTGTCCCGCGCAGCTTATTGCGAATACGCTCCGCAATGTCCTGCGGGGTTCGGCTCTTCTCCATCATGTTCTTCATCTTCCCCTTGTGCTGCACAATGGGATCGTGCACGAAGGCCGAGAGGAGGGCCATGATGCTGTCGCGGTTCTTGTGCAGTATCGTCTGGGTGCGGTTACAGGACGCGCGGAACACGCCGTTGACGCCGAACACCTCCATCGCGTTGGTCAGCATCCGCGTGAGGCGGAACGGGATCGTCTCAGGCAGCACGTGGCGCAGCCGACCGACATCAAAACTATCGCCAAAGTCAATGTGCACAATTTTCCCAGTAGACATACAGAGGAGGATGTTGCCAAGGTGGCGGTCGCCAAGCCCCATCACGTAGCCCACCATCGACATGGTCGCCAATGACTGTGTGTAGGCCGTGCGGCGCTCAAGCCACTGCTCGGCGGTGTTAGAGCGGTGCCACATGGCACGTGCAACATCCACAGCCTCGCATTCCGGCTCCGTCATGATGTACTCCAGCACCTCTGTGCGTTGAATCATGCTCAGTTTCTCCCAGTTGCCGAAGGATTCCACATAGGAGCGCAGCGCAGCGGATTCTTGGTGTGTGCGCACCTTTGAGATTGTGCTGCGGTGAATGCAGATGGTGTTGTTGATCGTGTTGGCGTGCTCCACCCAACCGAGGAGGCCAACGTTGTTACTGATCGGAATAACAGGGAAACGGCGAATGAAGGCGCTACTCGGTGTGTGCGCATCACTGAGCAGCACATTAACCATTCCAAACAGCTGCATGACTCGCTCATCCATGCGAATGTCCTCATTACCCTTGAGGCAGTACGTATACATGCAGCCGTTGGACCCACTAAGGCGAATACGCCGCGGCCGTTTCTTGGACGGAATCACATCCAACTTGGAGCTAAACGACGCAATGGTAGGGAAGTTCGTGTACTGAATGTCGTACTCGCCAAACACCGCAATACAGAGGTTACGGAGATTCAACAGTGGCTCCATCGCCTTCTGTGGCTCCTTGCCCAACTTTTCCGAAATGTGCTTCGTGATTTCGTCCACCAGCTGGCCAACGATACTGCTTGCCTTCTCGCGGTCGCCGTGCTTCTCATCGTCGAGCACCATCTCCACATACTGTCCAATATCGCCAACGGTGTAGAGCATGTGGCGGCGGTGGGCGCTGAAGATGTCGAGCACTGACTTAAGCCGCCGCCGCACCTCCTCCGGGTCCTCTTCGTACTCCGCGTTGGGATTCCATGCCGTCGCCACCGCGCTGAGGTTCTCGCGTATCTTCTCAATCGGAATTGCAGAGACGTCAATCAACAACTTCGCCACAAGCTCTGCGTCGGCACGAATACGCTTTGGGAGGTGCTTGATTATCGACTGCGCAAGCTCACGCCGGCGCAGCTGCGGACCACCACAACCATCGTCTGACATAAACACCACCAGTAGCGGAAACACCACCGCCTGCGAATGCACTTCACACAGATGTCGTAGAATCATGCTGATCACTTCACGTACATCATGGCTGCTATTGCTGAGGTGGCCAATCAGCTGCGGGATAGCCTGCACCCAGTAATCCGTGGGGATACGCGAGACGCTATCGGCCACCGTCTCTTTTAGCAGCGACATGCCATTATGGAAAACCCATAGATGCAGTAAACGCATGACACCAGGAAGAGCGGTGGAGGGTCCTGCACAGCGGCAAATGGCTGCAACAAAACCCTGATGCGCGGCTTCCACAAACAGGTGCTGCTCTTCTGGTGTGAGGGAGTGATCGCGCTGCTGCACGCGATAGTTCATGAGACCCCAACTATGCCACACCTCGTAGCTTTCTGGCATCGCGCGTATTGCCTCGTGAAAGTGCCGTAGCACTTCTTGCCGGTGATCACTCTTCCAGAAGGAGTCCGCGCGCATATCCTGTTTCCATGAGCCCAGCCGGTGTTGGGCAGTTCCGTAGCAGAGCGGACGCGTCTCCTCAAGGCGTGGGCGCGTCTCTTCAAGAAATTTTTCCATCATGCGCACCGCCTCCTGTCGTCGACCCTCACTCCACACCTGACCAATGTACACAATCGCCACAGATGGCTCAGAGCTTAGCGGAGCATCGGGATTCATGTGATCGCTCTTGTAATGGTGACTACCACGCGGGAACTGTCCCTGCTGCAACCACGCCATGGCCCATTTAGAGAGCTGCGGGTAGTTTGTTCCCATGCGCTCACAAAAATTCACAATCATCTCTGACATCTCACTGGGCTGCAGCACGAGGGAGTGTACCATGAGTGAGCGCAGACTAGGCATCAGCGAGTCCGGTTTCAGTGCGGCGAATCGCCGTTTCCACCTGTCTACCAACTGCTCGCGAAATATCACCGAATCTGACTTCACGTACGCAATTTGCTCCTCCATTTCAGTAAAGTGTTGAAGCAACGTAAGATTCTCATAGGCGTGGGCGTAGCTGAGCGGAAGAAGCGTCTTGAGGCTCTCATCCACTTCGATTTTAGCACGCGTGATGGTGTTGTGAAGGAACTCCACCCGCGGAGCAGCATCTGTGTCACGGCGGAATTGGTAAAACTCGTCGTGAAAGTACGCCGCACTCTGAAAAAAGAGGCGCAGTGCAGCGCTGCCCTTCTCCTTGAGTGGAACACGCTCCGTCAGCTGCCGTACGTCCCCCCATTCACCAAGAATCCACGCTGCCATGGCACCGGACTGTGCAATTGTCGACGATGGTTGCGCAAGCTGTGGGCAGACGGCTTTGACGAAGTCCAGCGTCTTCTCCCACTCCCCACACAAACAGAGCGTGCGCACGTATCCTTCTAGATCCACCAAGCTGCTCTTACTGAGGTCCCGCACCTTGGCGGCATAGACACTCTGTGCCACATCCCACCACTGCAACAGTTCGTAGCTGAAGCCATCCTCGTCCTCACTCTTGTACCGGATAGCGCGGAAGAGACCAACGACAGAGTCTTGCATCTCACGCTTGCTGTACATCCACGCAAGTGGTAGCACAACGGCGTGGACCGCTTCTTTTGGTACACGGCGCCTATAGCGATACTTCTCGAAAACAGGCAACATCTTGTTCTCGAGGTAGCTCATCACTTTGTCATACATATGCGTACGCTGCGCCGCCTCCACAAGACTATCCGTGGCAAATAGTGGATTCACAGTGTTGGGGATTGGCGGGGCACGCGTGCACGACGCGGCTAGTGAAGAACGTGGCTTAGCCGTTATGGGGGACGCCACTGGATGGAAGTCTCCCTCGACTTCTTCATTACCTGAGAGCAATGCACTTATCAGGCCGTTGTTATTGGTGTTGTTGTTATTATTACTCCTGCTCCTCACACCCTGTGCATTGCTGGTGAAGCTTGGAATGGCGCCCTTTGTATCAATGAGAATTGTTCCTTCTCTTGTTACCAGCTCTTCATCTGGTGACCCCAGTGATACTGATAATGAATCCAAACTGTAGTTTTCGCTGACAACCTTTCCCTGGTGCTCTGACGACGATGGAAGAGTGGTGGGACGCATTCCAGTTTCATTGCTCTCAAGGCTTCGCAGATGCAACAGCACTGGCTCCTTGATGTTTGGTGGGTTGTGATCGAGGTAGTCAGCGAGGCCGAGACACTTTGACACCACCTCACTGTCGGCTGATCGAAGGGCAAGATTGAGCACCTCATTCACCTTCTTCATGTGCTCTGCGTTAAGGGATTCATAGAAGCACTTGAAGGATGGATGGAATAGCTTTCGGCGCAACGGCTCATGCTTGTCGAAGAGATCCACCATCATGCGGAACACTGGGTGAGGCGACACCACAATGATGTTCTTCTGAAATTCCGCCAACCACTCCCGCCACTTGTTGTCCTTCGCTCGCAACCCGAACTCCACATGCTTCATGAATAGCGTAATGTCCTGCTGCCCCTGTGGGTACGTCTCATAGCCTTCATCATCTTGCTGGTCGAGGTAGTGGTTGCCACATCGAAGTTCCCGTTGGTGCTGCTGACGGTACTGGCGCAGGTACGGCAGCTCCGACGCTTCCTCGCTCATTGAAGTTAGGTCGTTGCCACTGCGGGACGAGTCGATGGGGTCTGGGCTTCCCGCCTCCTCCGCGTCACGCAGCCGCTCACGCAACGCACGTACCGTCGCTTTGCCATTTGGGTAGAGGGCAGCGAGCACCTTGAGCGAGTCTCGCACCATAGCCGTGGAAAGGCGTGGGCCAAGGTCCTCACTCATCTCGCAGTGACGCGTGAGGGTGCGAATGGCATGCAGAAGCGAGGAGAGGTGCTGCACCGCCTTGAGATCGCACACGATGTGTACCGAGACACACAGTGACAGCGCACGCACCTCTACAAGTTGATCGAACTGTTGCACGAACTGCATGAGCATCGGGAATAGGATGGAAATGCAGTGCGGGGGAATGTAGCTGGCGTGAAAAATAATGCCCACAACACGGAGACAGAACTCACGCGACTCAGTACGGTCCTGAAGAGCTACGTCCACAAGGCGTGGGTACAACCACGGCCATACCTCCGACTGCTCCTTCCCTGATAGATTGCCAGGTTTCAGCGCACTCACAACATCTAACACAGCGCGGAAAAGGGCGTGATCGTGTGTGTGCCACAGCTGCTCAAGCAGCACTACAATTTCAGGGAGAAGTGTTTTGGAGATTTTTTCATGTCGAAGGGAGGTAATGGCAGCCATAATATGCAGGGCTTCTATCCGTAGCGATGGAGTGTCGTTTGCCCGCTTCACAATCTGCAGCACTGCCTTCACCGCGTGGGCTCCACCAATAAGTTCCTTCTTGTCTGATGTGGTTTGCACAAGGTGCAGCAGAGTGTGCATAGCCTGCCTGCATACCGTCTCAGAGAGACTAAGGTCTATCATACGGCTTAAATCACGGTACACGATCACAGTGTAGTCGTACGTCAACTCCAAATCGGCATCATCCTGAATAGCCGCTTCATCGTCCTTCTTCTTTGCAACAGCTTCAGGCTTTGTAGATGGATCAACAGCGCCTAGTTGACCAAAAAGCGTAAGCACCTGCTCCAGCTCCTCCTCCGTGCTGTTGGTGGCACCAATGTAGACGGCTGTGATGGACTGCAGCAGATCATGCACCTGTGGCGCATTCCACTCCTGCGGAGAGGCACCTATAATGTGCATCTTCACCAGCACGCCAATGGCGGCATGACTCAGCGAGGTCGATGTGCTCGAGCGGAGAATACCCACCACTGGCATATAGAGCTCCACCACATCTTCCTGGTACTGAAGCATAACCTCTCGGTTATTCGCAAAGGCGGCGAGTATAGTTGAGAGGGCTTTGAGGATCGATAACGCAATAGCGTCGGCCATTACCTCTTCAGCCAGTTGCTTGCGAAACGCAATGAAGGTGCGGTGCAGGTGCGCCATCAGCGGCTCCAGGCTGAACTTGGCGAGCGTCTGCAAATCAGACATGTGACGGATGAGTATACGTGGGTCAGTGGAGTACTCCAATGCCACCACGCACGACTCTACAACAACCAACAGGCTTCGCTGTAGTGACTCCGCTGAGGGTCCCGAGCGTGGTTCCTGCGTCAGCGCGATGAGGAGTTCCATCGTTTTCTCACGCACATGGGAGGTGTCATGCAAGAAACTCATGAGTGTCTTAAGAATCCGCTGCTCCAACAGAAATGAACGCAGCTCCACGGCGTCTGCGAGCAGCGTGACTTCCATAAGCCGTACCTTTGGGTCCAACTCCATCACCACGTGCTTAAGGTAGAGCTCCAGGATCTCTGTGACGCGGGTGGAGTAAGTAGAGGTGCGGTGCTGCTTCGCGTACAACGTCCAGCGGCTGAGTGCTTCCACGACACAAGTACTGCACTGCTGCCGCACCTGCGCGTCTGGGTGACGCTGGTAGTGTATGATGGAGCCCCGCACCTCCTCTAGCTGCTGAACAGATGTGATCTGCCGCTTCCCAAACACTTCGAGGGCAATCTTCAGTTCCGACGCCCCCACCGGCTGTGGTGGTGACATGCCACTTCCTCCCGCCCCCACCCCGGCTGCTGCTGCTGCCATCATTGTTGTCCCATTAGACATCGAATTATTCCCCAAATTTGGCTGCAGCGCCGTTCCGGCACTTCGTGCAGATATTTCAGAAAGGACCACACCGCTGCCAGCGCCATTTCCACCACCATTCGAAGCGATGCGGCTAGTGTTGTTGCCATTGCCCGCTTCAGCCGAAGCTGGCGGAAGGAAGTACTGCGCCAGCCGTCCCACCGCGCTGTTGGCACCGCTGAAGGTTGAAGCCTGCGCTGTGTCTTGCTGCAGCCCCAACTGGGATGTGCCCACCATGGAAGAGCCGTATCCCTCGCGTAACGAATGCGTCACACCGGATTCCCCCTCTGTTCTCTTGGGGTCTCGAACTTCGTCCTTTAGTTTGCGGTCGACAAGGGTTTCAAGGGCAGCTTGAAGCTCCGCGCTCACGGAGGGAATATGCTCCCCCACTAACCCCACGTACTGGACGAGCTCCGCAGAAAGCACGGCATTTGCTAAGTGCGGAATGCAGCGGCGCACCAAAGTATCCATGTGCTGCATGAGCACCTGCTGCTTGTTAGCACCACTGGATATTCCATTGGTTATCGAATTCGGCGCTACGCTCTCGACCCAAGGAGAGTTCTGATTGGACGGACTACTCTCTACTGGCAGCGGTACCTCGCCCCTACTTGCCGAGAAGCTAGCAATAGACCATGTTGATCGATTTCCCATCTGCCCCCGCCGCCAGCTTGCCCGAGTCGGGTTACTGCAGATAGCCGCCAAGAGATGCCAGCACTCTTCTTGCGTCTCCCGCCGTGTGATGTAGCGCAACAGGATGGAATCAAGGTTCGTTCGATTAGTGGGATCCAAAACCTCGTAGCCAACATTTTTGATGAATGTGGCAACGTTGTGCAGCTCCAAATCCTTATTCTTTTCATCACGAACATTCTTGACGGGTTCCATGATGATGGCACAGTACGTGGTACGCCGCGCCGCTGAGAGAATGTCGGTCTCCGCAATCACCGGAACGAGATTACAGACTGCAATCCGCACCGCCTGAGACTTGGAGACACGGTGCTGCTCCGTCACGAGTACACACAACTGCGGTAAAATCTGCACCTGCTTCTCCATGCAATGCACACCGCGGCTAATAATGAGCGCGCGCAGCGACTGCATGGTAGAGATGATACTACTCTCGTTGTTGTGACTTGTGTTGAGGGAGCGAATCGCGTCATCCAAAACGCGCCGGCTCTCCAGCAGCACCTCTTTGTGCCGCATAGCACTCGTGTGACTAAATATCGCCACCAAACAGTCGTACGCGGCGCGGCGCAGCACTTCATCGGAGGAGCCTGCAAGTGCTGTCGCAAGCTGCACCGCGTGCGGGCGCAGCTGTCCAGACATGTAGCGCGGGTTCACCTCTGCAGTCGCATCGAGCGCGAGCATGACAGCAAGGAACTGCGCCACGAATGGCGCCTTCGTTTGCTGCGCGCGACCATGAAGCTGGATGAGGGCGAGCTCACAATTGTCCTTCAGCTCCTTTGTGATGAAGGACTTGAGTGGGGGGTCGAAGGGACTGAAGTGAAGATCCATCGCGAGCATACGCTTCAGTACACGCTTTGCCTCCTTTGCGGGCTTCTCTATTCCACAGTGAAGCACAATGAAGAGACTGCGGCACAGACGTGTGAACTTCTGCTGCGGATTGGTGTACGGCACCACGAGGAGGGCGTCGATGAAGTCTACGGCGAGCAAGAGAAGTTTGGGATTCGAAGACCGCGAGAGCTCGGAAAGGGCATCGCGAATGCTTTGCTCGAGGAGGAGGTCTCGGCTCAGTGGGTCACAGCTCGCGAGGGCGCGACGCTCAATGGCCCACACCGCATCACGCATTACCGCCTCTGCGTGCGGGCCGCCCATCGAACACTCGAGCTCCTTCAGCAGCTGCTTTACCTCCTCGTCACCCGCGTCAGTGGCGCCCACCATGACGTTGGACGACAAGGGCACGTACCCACCATTGGCGACCTCCGGCATCGGACTCTTTACGGCGCCACGCCTACCACCACCGCCGCCGCCGCCGCCGTCACCCCCACCAACACCAGCAGCGGAACCGGCTGCCGCCACAGTAGTAGAAGAAGTCGTGGCAGGAGTGGCAGCAGCAGCAGCGGCGGTGGCAGGGGCGCCAGCGCCGTTAAGCCCTGTTGAAGGCGGGCGGCGCAGCGCAGTGTACATTTTTATACACCCGCCTAAAGGTCACAGACGCGCACACAACCCTCAACTGTATCACACTTCACTAACAATGCTTCCTTGTTGACCTAATTGTTGACTCTGTGTTATTAACGTTTTCCCTGGAGCCTTTTGTTAGAACCTCCCTCCACGCCTTCCTTTGCCTTTGGCGCTGGGAGCTTCCTTTCCTATCCTTNTTTTCCCTGGAGCCTTTTGTTAGAACCTCCCTCCACGCCTTCCTTTGCCTTTGGCGCTGGGAGCTTCCTTTCCTATCCTTCGCCGACAAGCTTTGATGCATAGACATATGTTTTTGTGTTTGTTTGTGTGTGTGGGTGGGTGGGTGGGAGGGCGTAAGAGGAAAGCAGACGGAAGCGTGCATGTTTGCGTGTGTGTTTATATCCAGGGGTGAGTAACCAGGTGTATGCAGTTCTGTTGTACGTGTAGTGTAGACATCACATACAGACACACAGAGAAAAAGCACAGATGTGATTTTGCACCATTGCGCACTCTTAAGTTCTACGGCTCGTCGTTGTTGTCCATGTCTTTGCTTGTTGCCAACGAGCTTATATGTATCTTTGCTTCCGTGTCGGTGCGCCTATGCGTGTATGCTGGTTTATCTTCTGGTAACCTATAATGTATTTAAGATGGGCTGCAACAGACATACCACCCTAACCTCTCTTTCAGTTTCTTCCCTTCTCTCTTACCTACTCACTCTCCCAACAGCCAACACCCACAACACAAGTACACCCAGTTCCCAACTACGAGGGGGAAGAAAGATTGAGAACCTGAGAGACACTACTGCGGCTGCCCCTGCTGTTGCTGTTGCTGCTGCTGTTGCAAGCAGAAGAAGCTTAGCACACCCAAAGCCCCATTTGTCATGCGATGCCTCCTCACGTGGTGCGACGTGAGTGGTGACACTACTGCAGCAGCAATAACAATAACTGTTAGACAAGCAAAAAAAAAATGGCCTGTGCTTATAACGTGTCAACAAATCCACACGTGCACATAAATGCACACATACACACACACACCGCATGAAACAAAGTGACACGGGCTGGGGGAAACACACAGACAACAAATAAAACCATAGAAACAGGTTTCTTGAGAGAGATTCGAGTGAAGTGATCACCAACACAGCCTCCGTATATTATATTTATATATATACTTCTCTATAGATCCCATCTGGAGCGCCACACAGGAGTGCTCCCTTCACCTCTACTTCGGCCCACCCCCGTCCATTCATCATCAACACCACCACCACCACCACCACCACCACCAGGAGCAGCAGCACACCACATCATCACACCGCTCTAGTCTACATCGCTCCAGTTCTCTACGCCGCCACGGCGGCGGTGCCGTGACGATCGCCCCTCCGACTCACGATGGCGGCGCTCGACAGTAGCAGAGCGGCGACCAGTGGCACGAGGGCGCGGGCTCGAATCCAAAAACTCGTACGAAGAGGTTGAGCAGCTGGACACCATAGAAGAAGACGTGATCGATGATGGGGGCCTCCTGCGGCGCAGGGGCGGCGATGTGGCTGCAGCGTTCCCGTTCGTGTTGGCCGGCTCGCGTTTCTCCCTCTTTCCTACCGTGCCGTCCTTCTTCCTGCTGCTGCTGCTTTTGGTGTTAGTGTTGGCACGCGGCTGCTTCCCCGACATGACCTTTTCCGCGCCTTCCGTTTCCTTCGTGCTTTTTTTCTCTTTCTTCACGTAACAGCATCCGCCAGAGGGGCCCTCTTTATCCTCCTCCTCCTCCTCCTCTTCTTCTTCCTTCTTGGTCTTCTTTTCCTTATCCACCTTTTTCTTGGCCGCCTTCTCCGCCTCCTTGGCTGCCTTCTCCGCCTCCTTGGCCGCCTTCTTCTCCTCCTTGGCTGCCTTCTCCGCCTCCTTCTTTGCTGCCTTCTTCTCCTCTTTTGCTGCCTTCTCTGCCTCCTTCTTTGCTGCCTTCTCCGCCTTCCTTTCCTTTTCTTTTGCCTTCTTCTCCTCCCTGTCCTTTGAGTTGCCAACACAGGTAAAGCAGTGGGTTTTTTCCTTCTTTGCCTTCGCCTCGACTTCATCAATAGCGTCATCCGAGGGCTGCTGCTCCTGGGTGCCCGCCTCATTCTCCCCCTCCGCCTTCTTTCCATTGGGTTTGTCCCTCTCCGCCTTCGCCATGCCGTCGCTGCCCACCTCATGCTTGCGCCTGTGCTTACGCGTTTGCGCCTTGTGTGCTGCAGCAGGGGACGAGGGTGAGTGCTCCAACCTCTCATCTTCCTCCTCTTCATGATGATGCTTCTTCGACTTCTTGCGCCGGCGGATCTCAGAAGGGGCTCTCTCATGCCTGGAAGTGCTACGCCGCGTTTCACTCCGTACCCTCGACGCAGACGACGGCGAATGACGCTGATGATGATGATGACGGTAGCGGTGACGTTGATGGCGGCGCGGGGTGGCGTCATCAGGCAGCGGCGTATGCGCCATCTTGTCGCTCCGCTGCGAGTCCCAATCGGCAGCATCTTGCACTGGCGTCCGCTCCCGCTCTGTGGTGAACGACTCAGCCTTATGTTGCACTCTTGAAGCCGCTGGTGCGGCCATATCGGCTGCAAACCTGTCGGCGGTCGGCTGCCGCTTGTGTTGGTGGGACGACACAGGTTCTCTCCATCGCTCTCCATTCGCGTATTCCCCGCTCAAGGGCAACTGACGTTGGCGGTCGTGATGCGAAGGATGCCGGCGATGACGATAGTGCTGCGTTTTCTGCTGATGCAGCGCTGAAGAATGAGCGGACGGTTGCTCAACATCGCTGTGGTGCGGTGACCACACGTACGAATCGTTTGTCAGCGAGCGGTCCCGCTCACGCGCCTGATACGGGGACCACTGGTGCGGCTGCCCTTCCTGTTGCTGTCGCGTCGGCTGCGGCCCACCCGCCCTGGGCGTGCCGTAGAGGATATCACGCAGGACATGGCCGCTGCCGCGGCCAGAGATAATGGGAATGCGCGGTACATCCTCCTCTTCATCATCATCACTGTCATCCTCATCCTCATCGTAGCTGTCGTAGTCCTCGTCATACGACTCATCATCGAACCTGCGGTTGAGTGGGCGGCGGACGTCACTGGTCTGCCGTGTGGTGCGGTCCTCCTGCGTGTAGATCTCCTCAAACGTATCATCCAGTGTTGTATTGCGGTTGTTGATGCTCGAGTTCCGGTCGCTGTTGTTGTTGGCGACCCGCTGCGCGTAGGCCGTGCTGGGCACCTGCACCGCCGGCACGTTGATGCCACGACGCTGCTCCCTGTACACCACCTTCATCGCCGCTGCCTTCATGTTGTTGTCACGCCACGGAGTGTTGATGATGCCGTCGCTGTTGCTACTGCTACAGTCGAAGGCGGGGCGTTGCTGTAGCGGCTGATGTTGGTGCATCATAAGCGTGTCGTTGGTCGAGCGCGGTGGCGGCAACGTGCCGCTCTGGACAGAGCTCGTGTCGTCGGGCGTGCCGGAGGCGACGTAATCGGGACCAGTGTACGCGCGGTTGTAAGCCATGTACGAGGCCATATGTAAAAACAACCAAACACGATATAAATAAATATATCTATATATGGATGTGTGCGCGTATTTCTCTCCCTTTTGTTCTATATCTGTGCTTAAAATGTGTGATGTGGGGCGAAACCTGCCGCAACACGCTGGTGGGACTACAGGTCCCCCCCTCTCTCTCTCTCTCACTCTAACTGACTAAAGCAAACAGTAATAAAACCAAGAGATGTGTGCGCTTGTGTTGTTTATCACTAGAGGGATATCCCCATTCAGTACGTTCATACATACATCTATGCGCATACACATGCGTAGATATATATATATATATGAAACCAACGCATTCGACTGTGGCACCACCAGTTGACATATAACAAGAGACACATCATTCCCACGTGATGAATTGCTTCTTCTGCTGCTCCCAAACACTCATCCACCCACCCACCCACACGCACGCACGTCGATGCGCACTCAATTCACACTCTCTAGGACATCGGTGCGGACGCATTTGCGCCTTGTGTGCTGAGCGGCTGCGCTGCCGACACGTGACGCAAGCAGGACCGAGATCCAAACATCCGCCAACAATTCCCACGCCCGAGTGCCACAAAACGCAAGATCCACCTGGAAAGAAAGTGTTGCCTCTTTGCCAACGCAGCGAGCCGCCTCGGTCGGGATTGCCGGTGCTGACAGGCCCATGCCAAAAGCAGCACCCGCCTCCTGAGAAGGCGTCGTTCCCATGGTACCGCGCAGAGGGGTCGGAATCATTCCATCTTCTTCATTGTCGTAGCAGAAACGCATATGCATATCTACCAAGATACCAAGATCGGCAAGGTGCCGCTGGAGCAACGAGAATTGCAGACTCTCATTTTCCGTGAGTAACTCTGGCGCACCTTGCTTTGCTGCTGCTCCTGCTGCTTCTGAAGATGTAAATGAGTTGGTGTTACCATCACATGTCTCAGCGGATGGGATGATTGCTCTGCGGTTAGAAGCAGAAATGACTATGGGAAGGAAGTGTGTCCACTGATACGATAGGTACCGCGTCCCCTCGCCACTGTTGGTCGCTGGGTCTGCAGTAGCAACGGAAACAGGGTCACCCAGGTATGGCTTCAAAGGAGCTGCCATGGGACTTACAGCATCCGCATTTTGCTCATTCACCGATGAGCCCAATAGAGATGCGTCCTGTTGCTGTTGCTGCTGCCTTGACGCAGCCCTTGGGGCCACACACTTCTTTGGAGTTGCCGGGTAGTGGGAGGACTCCAAAACATCGCCAATGCACTCCAAGACCCACGAAAGCACTTCAGACGACGGGGCACTCAGATGCTGCTGCTGCTGCTGCTGGTCCGCAGCGACGACCCCCCTATTCTCGTCCTGCACAGGAAGAACATCACTGCGGCGCTCCTCCACGTGCTCCCGCAGTGCCTGCTGCATGTCACGCAGGGGCAAACGAAGAACCCATTGAATACACTGAGCCGTTGTCATCGCACTATCATTTTCAGTGGGCTCTGTCACAGCCGCCTCACCGTTGTTCATGTTCCCATCATTTTCCCCTTGCTCGTCTTGCTTACTTCTGCAGTGTTGCTGTACAAATTGAACAGCAGCAAAAAGTACAAATCTCGTACGAACTGCCAACTCATCCAATGGATAGACAACACCCATCTTGTTGCAGTCATCTCCATCCCCATTACTGGCGCCCTTGTCTGCGTGGGAATGTAACACACTGAAGCGGATAGTTGGATACACATGACGCAGCCGCTCTAAACCGTCGCTGGCTGCGGTCAGAACCGAGAGCACTTCCACCACCCCCCTTGATGTCGAGAATGACGTCGTGAAGGTTCCTGACACGCCCTCCACATCCGCCACCCCATCCTTCGCGTCACCGGCACAAGTATCGTCCTTTTTGTTGTTACTATTATTGTTGTGCCTGCTGTAGTGTGTGGCGCCGCTGCGTGAGGAATGCTCTCCCATGCTGCGCGCATCACGACTGCTGCTGCCGGTTTCTGTACACTCGTCGCTCTTCCCGCTTGGAAACGGGTAGTGTGGGCTGACATCACACGCAAGAAAACGCAACACACGCAGCACCGCCACAGGGCTGAGCCCGTCACACGGACCACACCCAGCTGCATTGGCAAATGCGCTTACGATGGCGTTACTCATCCACCGCTCCTGCATAAGAGAACTCCGCGGGGAGTGACGCCGTGCGTGACGCCACATTGCCGCAACGGCACCAAACATATCCGCCGGAGACGCGTACACCGCTGGGATGTCATTCCTGCTGCCGACGTGGGGACCGAACCGCAGCAGCCGCCCATGCGTCGTCTGCTCCTCAACGCGTCGGAAGTGAATAGCAGGCGACGCGAACAGCCTCGCGCACCTCATCTTTACTTCCTCTTCCTCCTCCTCCTCCCCACTCAGCTGCTGCTGTTTTTCGGCCTTTTCAGTGCTGTAGCACTCCGCCGATGCAACAGCCGGGACAAAGTCCCCACGACGGAGTGCAACACAGCGCTGGAGCGCCAACGTTGTGGCAGCTGCCGCCTCCGCCTCCGCTGCCGCCGCAAGTTCGTAAACGACCGGCGCTACAAGGGAATAAACCGAGTCCCAGCAGACGGCGAGGACATTCTTACTCACAGACACATCACACGCAGCCGGGTGTGCCGCGACATACGAGAGGAGTCGTAATCGCACTGAGGAAACAAAAGAGGCAAGATCATGCATCGCGCGTTCGAACATATTCGTCAGAGGCATACGCGTGGCCAGACCCTCCGCCACTCTCTCGGTGTGGAAACAGCCAATATCATCCCCAAGGCTGCGATCGCCACCACAGTTACCACCCACCCCAACCTCGTTGCACCACGAGGGGCACGAGCAGTTGCGCTCTAGCGGCGACGCACCCCCGCGACGAGAATCGCGGCCAAGCGCGCGCAGCTGTGCGAGAAACGGGGATAAACTTTCTTTGGACTCCACTTCGGAGTGCTGCTGTTGTTGTTGTTGTTGTTGCTGCTTACGACGCGGGCTCAGGAGACGATTGTGGTAACTGCCGAGCGGGCTCTGCCGTGGGAGAGGTCCGTCATCACATGTCGCTAACAGAGGGGCGCGAGAAATGGCGATACCACCCGTTCTAGGCGAGGAAAGCCGTACGTGCGAAGACTGATGCAGCGGCGATACTTGCTGCTCCATTTTCTCCTCCTTCATCTCAGAAGAGATGGACTCCCCGTCCCGCCTCCACCCCTTACCGTCGCACGGTTTGTAGAGAAAGTAAAAGCACCGCTGGAAGGGCACCAGCACCGCCATGAACTCTTCGCGCTGCATCATAAAGGAGAGAAGTGGCAGAAAGCTGTTCGCCTCGCTATAGTCATGGACGTCGTGAGCTGCCTCTTCCGAAGCGGTAGTGGCGGCACCCGTTGATGCATCCTGCTGCATCCCGGCAACAGAGGAAAGCATCTCGTCAAAGGCAACGAACAGCGGCTCCCACACCCCACTGAGTGAACCACACGAGTGCACCAATGTGCCGTGGCCAAATGTCCAGTTCTCGTAGCTCTTCCACAACGCCCCCTGCAGGGTGAACGGCCACGTGGGAAGAACTGCGTTGGCCGTGTCGGCAAGCTTCCCCTCCTTCCAGTTTCCACACAACAGCATGCCAGTGCTGCAGTAGTGCAGAGTACCAGCCCCTTCCCGGTGATCATACACAAAGCCACCCATGTAGACAGTGCTGCTGCCCGGGTCGTACTCGACACCGAAGCCGTGCCGCTGTCCGCATTGCCAGCAGCCGCAGTGTCGTATACCGTTCGGATACAACATCTCACCCACACCGTCTGGCACGAAGCGCACCTGCTCGGCCCACGCAAGTCCTGCAAACGACCCTCGGTGCGGTGTCACCCCGGAGGAAATCAAGGACGTCATGCCAACATACTGATTCGTTACACTCGGATCGGCATCACCACGCGAGGCAGCCGATGTGCGTCGCAACATATTCCTGTCTGCGGTCGAATTGTCAGGTGCGGTGGAAAACTTGGCGAGGAAGCGCAGAACACACGGAGTGCGGTCAAGTATAGGAGCATCGTCGTCCCAGGCACAGTCCAGCGTGTAGCGGGGATACACTGTAAGCCGCCCTTGGCCCTGCCGCCTGCCGTAGCTAAACGTACCCTTGTAAATGGTGAAGGTAATTAGCACAGTGTCGCCGCGCAGATCGTCCAAATCTCCATACTCACTGGACACCAAGCTGGGCGGCAGCCCAACCGACACCTTGGAAGATTTCGCGGAGGAGTTGGCAGCACCCTTCGCGTACAGCAGATACACCAAAGTACCTGTTCCATGTGGGATAAAGAGGTTGCTGCTGCTCCCACAGTTGTGACTACTGTCGGCACGAACAACTTCACCTGTGTAATAATGCTGCTGGCATGCCTGCTGGTGCTTGAAGTCAATTCCGCTGTGCTTCTCCAGCTGCTGCACCAGAGTAGCAGAGGAGGCGCCAAATTCGATTGGATACACCGCCACTCGCTGCGTGCCACCCCTGCGAGACTCAAAGACCACATCGGCGGGTTGCGCCTGCATCGGTGGGGCGGACCGCGACATGCGTGTTGCTCCCCCTCTTTGCTGCACAACGTTAGAAAACAGGGAGACGCTACCACCGATACACCGCCACCGCGCACCTCACCCACACCTCGTCTTCCCCTTTTGAATATGTTTCCTCTTGCGCTGCACTCTGGTTGTCAATAACGCCAGGTGGCCACGCTTATTCACACACACACACACACACAC